TTCGGTTCTTGAGCCAGAGTGCTAGAGGAGTCATCCTCAAACAAACCCAGCGGCTGTTCGCGATCTGTCTGTGTTCCAAATCCCCAAGATCCCGCATGAATATGTCTACTTGCGGCACTAAGATCCAAACTACGGCGTCCACGGGAAAGGATGCGCTTCGTAACCCTTGTCTAGTGGTGTGGGCGAATATTATGCGAGCTGGAATACTCAACCAGAAACAAAGTCTGGGTATTGGATACTGGAATGTGCGAACACTTCTGGAACGCGGTAACCAAAGTCTGACGGCGCGCAGTCTTCATTTATATCACGTGGACGTCTGCTGCCTGTCCGAATTCCCGACTCAGATGTCTAATATTAAAAATATCGGGAGTCGATTCCCACCTCACCCTGTATCACTGGCCCACGCGACTCATTTGGTAGACATTGCGATTTTTTCCTCTTGGAACAAGCAAACCGTGCACCACTGGTATGGGAACCATTCAATGACCAGATGTCTTATGCTCAGTTAAGGGTCACTTTACGAACATCTCTGTCGTTTCTGTGTATGTGTTAACATTAACCGACCAACAGCAAGATAAGGAGACCTTCTACTCCCAGCTGCAGGAGCTAGTCGAAAGATTTCCTCACAGTGATCTGTTTATAGTTGCTCAAGCAGTCACCCTATTGGTCTCGATCCGACAATGACGAGAGGATGCTGCATTTTGCTGATCAGAACCCACTGTAGCCAACGCGTGTTTTCAGCATTATCATAAACGTCTACTGACATGGTATTAAAACGACGGCGGTACCACCATGCAGATCGATTACATAACCAAATGCTGGGACTAGGGGTATATGCTGAGGTCACGGCTTTTCTCCGTCTTCCAACTGCATCCAGTTTGGACTCCGGCGGGGACCCCTGATCCAACAAGGCCTACCAACCAACCAACTAGGGGTATATAAAGTGCACTACTGTTGCCGATTACATCATAGTTGGTTCAAGATTTTGCAGTTGGATCCACGATAGCAGGTCGATGCGTGGTGCCGAAACTGGTAACGTCCCCAGGCCTGACCACTCTCCTTCGTACACGCCTGGACGTTCATCTCTCATCTGCACCCAAAATGCCACTTGTGAGACACCTTGATGTCGCAAAACTCCGGCAACCGACCACCACCGAGGCCCTAAGCAAAGAAATCCGATCCCGTTTTAAGATCCGAGCCGACGGCGAAGGCAGTAGCAAGTGATCATCATTGAAGACATCCGTTTCTGGGGTAGCTGACAAAATGTTTGCATTCGCTCAGCGGCGCCGCAGTGACTGGATTAGCGGAAGAACCCTGCAGCTGTCTGCCCAGACGACTCGAGCTAGATCCCGCAACGATACTTCAGTCCATAAACTCCAAAAGCTGACAACGATGTCGGCTAGGGGTGACCAGCAGAAGTATTGGTCCGAAACAGTAACTCCCATGAAGCAAGCCCCAAATGTTGGCCACACTCGAAAACTCTACCAAATTATCCGCCAATTTAGTGGTAAACCCTCGTCACTCAGTGATTCTGTTTGCGACGTGAATGGCGACCTTATTGCTGGAAGCCCGGCCAAGGTCGATCCCTGGCGTGAGCACTTCGAACACTTCCTCGACTTTGATGAGCAGCCCATCACACCCTCCCTCTCCTCCTCGGCGGAGTTTCATCCCTTTCCAGTCTATGCAGTTTCGTGCAACTTCCCTTCCGAAGACGAAGTTGCCGATGCGATACAGAGGCTGTATAGGAACAGGGCGCCCGGAGAGTATGATATTCCCGCTGAAATCTACAAGTCCTATGTTGAAACCCTGGCACCCTGGCTCCATGAAGTGATCGAGCAAGCGTGGAAAGATACAGTGGTTCCGAATGACTGGGCTTCGGATATCCTTGTGCCTGTCTTCACGAAGAGAGATAGGATGGAGTGCGGGAATTATCGGGGAAAAAGCCTAATCGACGTCGTTGCGAAGGTCTTAACTATTATCTTCCAGTAGAAGGCACTCATGGAGATTAATGATCGCTAACTTGAAGAAGTAGACAGCTTTTAATACCTCGGGGCGGGGCTACTGTCGAAAGGAAAGAGAAAGGACAAAATTATTTCTAGGATCGATGATGCTCGCCGGGTTTTCTCAAAACTCCGAAAGCGCCTGTAGTTCCGACGCTATATCTCCATTGCCACGAAGATCCGCTTGTACTATGCGTCCGTCCGGTCAGTCCTCTATGGATGTAAATATTAGACTTTGCGCGTTGAAGATGAGCGAAAAATTGAGGTACCGACTTCATCTCAAATGAGACATTCCGCAATCGCTGCGACAGTATCGCGAGGATATGTCGGGCCATCAAAGAAAGTCGGTGGATGGGGTTTGTGCACGGTTTTGGTCATCTGCCTTACGAGTTTTGCTACGCTGTCCACATGGATACGTTGAAGAAGAAGGCAACTCAAGACTTGGCTCGACACCGTTCGTCCAGTCATGGAAACGGCTCTTGAACCTTCAATTTTCGGTCTCGTCGCTAGAAGAGAGCATAGATAGAGCTTTCCAGATCCGCTGCCGCCAATCGTCACGCGTGGAGAGCTGCCGCCCGTGACATCACTGAGACCGGCTAGATCAGGCATGATTGCAGCCGTATCAAGCACAAGATGTCGCCATTGCGTACCACTGAGTAGACACTTTCTTAATGCTGCTTACTGAGGGGGTACGCTGACGAAGCAGTTAGGTTACTCTATTGTCATGCCGACTTTTGTAGTATACTCTAAAGCGCCAATACTCTGCCTGCGGCGCTAGTCCGCGTAAAGGCGTTGATAAAGTATGAAACGCGAACATTGCGGATCAGAGCTTTTCGTGAGAAGGAAATTTTAGAATTGTCAGTTATAGATTGTTTGCTGTTGCTTTTCATAAATGTTGGCAAACGCGTACACTGTGCGTACTTCCACCGAACCGTTGGACTAGCCTTCTTTTAAAATGTCTTACCCTGACGTACATGTGTAACATGTGTTGATGGACATAAGCCATTGATTTTCCTTTCAAGGCCTGGTCACCGAACAGAACGAGGTTCTGGATACTATCATGCACGCTCACCGTCTCATGTGTGAGGTCTACTCTCATCCCTACAACGCAGCGGAAGTGGCCGAACACCTTAAAGCCACCCATTCCGTAAGTTTTCTTTCTAAACTTACTTTAGAGGACATGAACTGGCGTCAGTTTCAACGCCAACCCGGTGGTTATTCAGTTCTCAGATGGTAGAATCGAGCCTTTGTACACAAATTGGCAGCTGTGATAATTTACATTCTTTTGGATTTTCATGATTCTCCCACGTTGTGCTTTTATCAAACTGTTGGACGGAAAATTCGGAGTACCGTGCGTGCATTCAACCACATAATCTTCTTTATTACAAGCAATAATAGATGTCTAACCACTGATGACCAATCTGCCTGCCCCAACAACCCTGGGCGATTTATTTACTCAATAAACGTGTGATTAAGTTCATGGCTCTCGGTGAGCCTTGTAGCTCAGTTGACTGAGCGTTGGCTATACTCAAGCCTTCACTTGTTGACGTGGACTCGTATCCCACCGCTGCCGCGAATTTTTCACAACTGGGTCAATTGAATTATTCCAACCTATCATCCCCCCTAATAATTAAGTGTGCCTTATAGTCATTTGGTAGATTCTAGATTGCTTGCTGAGGAAATCCTACCTGGGAAGTCAGCTCACTGTATCGCCATTGGTGGATTTCACACGTGCAGTAGCCTGGGCAGGTAAATCGGCCCGAGGGTGATTAAATTCATGGCGCCCGGTGAACCTCGTAGTTCAGTCGGCAGTGCGTTGACTGTACTCACGCCTTCCCTTACTCAATAAAGGTGCAAGTCTAGTGTGTGGCTTTGCATTTTGAAGTTGGCCATTTTTTCATATCACGTCTACTGTTGCTGACATTCTTCGACAGATTTCCCGGCAGCCGCCTCCAAGTAGTTTACATGTCTGTAAACAGACTGCTTTGTCCGCGATTTGTTGTAACGTTTCTGAATGAACCGGTTAACTTTTAAGGTGATTTTTCCATTTGCTTATTCAAATTTCAGACGCCGAGTTCTCTGGAGGTCGCAGAAGAGATCCGTGAATTTATAGAGTCGGATCGTTTTTTCACCTTCACGACTCTGGATCTGCAGTTATGTCCCAAAATCACCGAGATCCTTTCCGACGCATTTCGTTCACTCAACGAGGAACTCGATGTAGGTCGTTAATCATATTTTGCCATATCTTTCTGGAACAGCTCTACTCTCGGCTTTAAATATCTCATCGTTCCAGATGTTGATTAATCTCTTAGTCAGCCTTGGACCTTTTCCACTTTAGTATGGGTTAGAGGAGCGAGATTTTGATGCTCTTATCAACCCTTCATCTGATATCAATGCAGTTCCCAAGACTTGCTCATCTGCGGAACTCAAACGACGCGTAAACACGATGGTTGACCAGTTGCTACTCACAGGTTACATCTATCCCCTGAATGGATACATCGGTGGTCTTGTCACCTATAAGGCAAGTCTTGATTCTTGCTTTACATAATCTCTCTCATTCTCCTGAGCAATGTTTATTTTTGGGGCAATACAGAAAATCGCTACTCGTAGAGATTGGCCTTTAGCAAGTCCAATCACAGCTCGCAGACAATGTCTCGGGTTATCTGGACAGGTTGTTACGCTGTGGACCGCTGGACAGTGATTGTGTTAACTGGATTGATGCGGATAGGTTCTCCATAGTTTTGAATTTTTAGAATGGATTTGTTTATCTCCCCTCTGACGTACCAGTTTACTACAATCTTCAGGCGGTCGATAATAAGAAGCATATTAGATAACGGGAAACGTTGTTAAACTCGAGATCACACCTATTTCGTGGCTAATTTTCTCCAACAGCTGTTTAGCTATCCACCACGTTTAGGTACGCCGGGTAGCTCATGGGTAAGTTAACAGCGGACCTCATATGCCGACTGAGGAGTCCCAGCTAAATCTTATGGGATGCCTTGTTTTACTTAACCCTACCGCTTGCTAAGCGGCCTTTTGTCCATTGCATGCGCAGACCATTTACTCTGGCATTTTCTACTGTCGGGCAACTGCGAGGGGCATTGCACACTGGTCTCTCTTGACATGGGCGTTACTCGCAGAACCAGTCATCTCCTTATGACCACTTTTCACTCCAGCAAACAGTAACGCGCAAAAAATCTTCTTTTAGCCTCAACGAATTTCTGGAACGGGAGGAGTAGAGTAACTTGGCTGAGGGTCCAGCAGAACACTGATTTTATGGGATTTGAAGATAAGACTTTTTAGTTAAGATTTTTTCAGGCAAATGAACTTTTTGTTGTTGAATTTAGGTTGATTTTGCAGTAGGGTGTTCCACTTAATCATTGACATAGTCTGACCTCTAAGTTGTGCAGTACATTGTCTGAGCAATAGCTCATCTCCCAACTTCATCTGTATGTCCATGTCATTAGCCATGCCCCTTGTAAGCAGTTTGTTGTTTTCCTAAAACGTAGTTTCACTAAAAACCGGGGAAATGGAAGTGCTTTTGGAAACGTAAACTGTAAGTTTTCAGCAATGAAGCGACTTCCGATTTCCACTTCCTTTCTCGTTTTTTCTAATCCATGACGTGTTGAGCGTACCTGTTAATCACGTCTTTTTACTATCAAATTACTTCATTGACGGTTTTGTGTTTGTCAGCACCCTTCGGTGTTGTCTGAATGAACTCATTTTTAAAGTACAAGACTGATTTTGTGAATTTTTTAAAATAAACTTTCCATTTTAAATTTTTTATAGTACACTCTCTGTGATCCGGTCTTGGTACAACACGTTTATCAGGCTATCGTGGAGGCTACCCAACACGTTAACAGTAGGTTTCGGTTACATTTCTTTTTTGCTATCGAGTTCAGTTACGCAGTGCCCATTAGGTACTACAAACACGCTTCTTTTTGTCTCTACAGCCAGGGAAACAGGCAATCTTCTAGGAAAAGTATTCTTGTTGAAAGGCACAAAACTGCATATTTGACAGGGTAGATTACAAGAACAATAACATACCGCGTCTGTTTTCGCAAAATTGTCTCATAGTTCGTAAACCAGGTGAAGACGTGCATTCTGCTATTTATGAATCCCCCGCATGTGTTTCTCCTGTCTTCCTTCCTTTAGGTGGTAGTTCTGGAAACTCCACCCACTGACAGCGCACAGACATGGCAAACCTTCCCACGGATGCACTGGGGCACTGCCACTAACTGATAGTATTCGGGGCTTCATTCCTTAACCATTCCCTCTCGGTGATCTCATATGAGATCACTTAAAAATTAAGAGCTTTCGTAATTATCTGTCTGTATATACGCATATTTAACCTTCTTGCTATATATATTAGGTACATTTATCTGATATCCAAATGAGATTTTTAAAAAAATTCGCTCTAAATTAATTTATATACAAGTTTGAAGAAGTCAAAAATGTACTCCTCAGAACTATTATGGGAGGTAATGGGTTAAGGTGGGCCGTTGCAATAATAACAGAGACACCATTTATGGGCCACCAACGACAAGAATTGATTCTCACACAGGCAGCCTTCGCTATAAATTGGCGTCAGAACAATTTTTATTTAGCCTCATGGTCAGACAGGATATCGCTGATGACCTTTCAGTTCTACATAGGCTAAAAACAGTCCCAAGTGTCCTACGCTGGATTGATCGCTGAGGACGTGAATAGCGTGGCCCCTCCAAGACCTATATCTATAGAGTTCAGGGTGCCCATTCCTACCGATATGCGCAAGCATTTTTTCAACCCCTCCAGCGACCTCCAGCCTAACTGTTCGCTTGCACATGTTTTAGCGGTTTTTCAATCATAGGAGTTTTTAACCCGCACAACAGGAAGCAGGCATGTTCTACCGTTTATCATCGTCGGATCCTTTGCAGGACGACTCCAGTCCGAGTAATCTTCCCAGGTCTACGCGGATGTCATTCTTACAGAGTATTACTCCCGTGACAGTACGTCATTTCCACCCTGTAAATTGCATCTGCTCTCCGCCAAGCAGCAACTGACTTCGTTAGCCTGCGGACCTACTTTCCTGTCCGGCTTCTGAAGTCTATCAGTGTACTCGCGTGATTACTGGCACTAATGCATGGTGAGGTCTTGATGTATTTCTTGACATCAAATAAGGCTTCATCCGCCATCTATTACAATGATGGAACCTTAAGATGCCGTGACGAAGGGGTGACCAAGTACGCCTCCCTTTAAGTAAAAAACCTGCGTTTCCAATTTTTTCTACAATTTTCGACCTCTAAGGATTTTAATTTATTCGAGATTTCGGCCTACTGGTCACTTACAGCCTGTCGAGACTGGACTCATCAGCATCTTCCTCCTCACTAATCTCCACAAGGTTCAAAGCTCTGCGAAATTTTGCAGACCTCGGATTGTGATTTTCCTCGATTCTGCTGCTTGCTAGTCCAAAAAGACTGCTATTCTGCCGAAGTATACACCTAGAAATTGTACACAAGCTGAATCGCTCTGCTTAACATCGATATTCGTTACATCATTGTCTCTAGACAATTCGTCAATAGACAATTTGTTTCTTACCCAACAAGTCCCTCTTCAAACAAGAGTTCGTGAGGGTTAGCAGATGAAATGCTGTCACCCTGCGTTTACTAAGTCGCTCGAGAACATCGACGTCAATTGCTTACCCTCATAAGGTCAGAGTGATCACGTAGCTCCTATGTCGGAGTACACCTGATCCTCTTTACCTGCCTACTCGCAAGGTCGACTAAATATTTGGATTGGCGATTTCGAGCAGACGAAGAATGAAAACAGACTAGCAAACCCCGGCCTATTTCTCCTTTCCTTAGGGTAAATGCTAAGGGATCTCGTATTAACTTTCCGCTGTATGAATGGCCTATACTGTTGCTTTGCTCCCAAGGATTTTTTTTCACTCAGGCTAACACGCTGACTTTGCGTGGTCATCGCCTAAAACTACGCCCAGGAAAAAAAAAAGGATCGATGGCGCAAGATTTTCTTCAGTAACAAAGTGGTTGAAGCGTGGAACGCTCTGCCTAAAGATGTTGTTCTCTCCACCTATGTGAATTAATTTTAGCGCGTAATGGCCATGCATAAATCGTCTCATTCACCAGCTAAATGCTAATGTATGCCGGCAACTCAAAACATTGTATGTCATTATACTACTCGTAATAAGTGAGTAGTTGTGTATGTTTACCCTTTCCGTCTAATCGGCGGCTGCTTGTTTTTGCTTGCAATTTTGTAAACGACCTCTTTTTGAATTCGTCTTCCGTGCCGATGCATTTGTTAGTCGCTTTGTTACCGATAAGGAGCTAAAAGGCATTCATCTATCTTTTCCTTAATAAAACTGAATTGAAAATGTTTGTCTAGGGGGCGAGTTGAAGGGGAAATCATGTTGCGTAAAGGATAGAATGTATGAATTGAAAAGATCAACATTTCTTATTATTAACCTATCAGTGTTGAAGGCCTGTAGGAGTCTAAGCCGTAAGTGTGCTCAGAACACTACAATTATCGCGCCCAGTTCCGTACAGGAAGAAGAGGGGTAAGACCAGTAGGAGTTGTTTATTGTGTACAGGGACTCAGTGGTGGTCTCAAGCCCCAACGCGCGGCAGGCTCCGGGCCCTGCGCGCGTGCGCGTCTGTCTGTTAA